CTCTTTCCTTACTCACCCCCTCTCTCTCTCTCTCTCTCTCTATATATATATATGTATATATATATATAGAATTATTTTTCCATTCCCCTTCTCTGTAAGAGACTGTGGAGCCTTAATGCAGTGACCGTTTTGGCAGTGATTAATCGACTCGTTATTGATGAAGAGTACAGCACAATGCGATTTCTTGGAGCAAGCGCTGAGTACGATGTGTCGTGTCCGGCCAGCCAGCCCTAGCCCTGGCAGGGGGGGCGAGGTCCGAATTGACATAGAGTCACGTGGAGCACACACGTCTTCTAGTCTAAAAATCGTGCTTGTGTGTGTGTCATATTGCTCAGCCACCTACACAAGCCTTGCCCTCGAGACGCCATTTGATTAGCTTCAAGGAATGGCCTTTATCTGGACCTGAATTGGCTGGTCATTTCGTTCTCGCGTGCGCTGTCCTTGATCCATCCTCGTGGTTACTCGTCCTTGTCCTCTTCTTCTTGGTCTTAGGTGTAATGTATTCGTCCTCGGCGTCCACACGTCCTTGAAGGTCTCGCACAAGTCCTCCTCGGATTCGTCTAGACTTCCTTGTCGTCGTCGCCCAGGTCTAACTTGGCGGCGTTCTCGTCCAGACGTCCTTGCAGATCTCGTCCAAGATCTCGGCTGCGTGGTCGTCCTCGTAACCTTCGTCTGGATCTACGGGCGTATGGGCAGACGGTGCCCTTTTCGGCATCTGCGCTGCCAAGCTCCTGGAGTTTGACTGGATCTGCGGGCGTCCAGGCAAGGAGCGCCCTTTCACAACATCCTAGACCCCTGCGTTCCGTTGGGCACTGCGTAGCACTACGAAGCGCAGAATTTCAACGAAACGGCCTGTAGTGCGATACTATATTCTTATGTGGCGCACAAACGCTACGATCCCGAGAGGTGGTGCGCCTCGCAGACGACGCGTACATTGTTTACAAACACAGCTAAGGTAGAATGCCAAGGAATATTTTCCGGCATGGATGCTGCCATGTGGACTTTTAAGATCAATTGAAACCTATTGGGTACTTCTTGACTGGCATTTGACTACATATCCGGCTAAGCAAAGGATGTTAAATGTGAAGAAACATGAGAGCACGATTCCTAACTTAAGCCTAACTGCTGGACTCTTAATGGAAAATATGATATGTAAAGATGAAAAGATGATTGTTATAAATACTAGCCTAAATAAAAAACATAGCAAATGTGTTTAAACACAAATTTAAAACACAAAAAGCTCCTGTGGGTCAATGTTTAGATTTGTGCGTCACAAGGCAGCGATTGGTACCTGCAATGACGAGTTCCTGGCCCACATGGTTTTCTGGTCTAACGGCTGACACAGATCGTGCCATTCCCTCTCTTTCTCTTTCACACACACACAAATTTATACATACATATAGATATACATACACTTACATATACATATAACCATATCTCTCTCTTTCCCCCCCTCCTCTATCTCTATTTATCTATATCTTTATTTCTCTCTCTCTCTTTATCCCTTTCTCTTTCTCTCTCCCTCTCTTTTTCTTTCTCTTATTCTCTCTCCCTCTCTCTCTCTCTCTCTCTCTCTCTCTCTCTCTCTCTATATATATATATATATATATATATATATATATATATATATATATATACATATTTTTGTGTGTGTGTGTGAATCGACTAAGATCGTTTTACTATTTGTAAAAAGAAAATCGGTAACAGTTGTAGTAAAAAAAGACCAATACTGGGGGCAGCCATACTTATATAATAAGAACAATCTATCGTTAAGCAATACCTTGTCTAATCCCCGGGGCAGAGATGCCGTTCTTATGTGATGTCCCGATTTCCTCCGTAATGCTTTCCTTTCCCTTTCAGCATGATCTTTTAGCTATTGAGAATTTCTTTCTATAGCCGTTTCCCGAACATTGACAATATTCCCCCAAACATTTTAATCGGGTTTGAGTAGCATGCCTTGCTTAAGGCCCGGTCACACAGCCTTTCGCGTCTGTATCGCGGGTAAAATTTCGCGATTTTTTTTGCCCGCGGTGGAAAATGTGCAAAATTGGCTAACCCGCGGTTTACCCGTGCTATGCCCGCGGAACAGACGTCGGCGACTGTTCCGCGTCCTTATCCCGGGTGAAGCGCGGCTGAAGCGCGTCTTTATCGCGACCTCAAAGCGTCCAACAGCGTCTGCTTCACGGGCAGAATTTTTTGGCCGTGATTCAGCCGCGATACGCTGTGTGACAGGGCCTTAAGGCGCGGAAGGACTTCCATGTGGTTTTGGTCACCAAACTACTTCGTAACTGCCCTTGACGTGTATATTGGGCAGTTATCTTGCACGATTGTTTCTGGAAAGGACCAAGGTAGAGCAGCGTACTGATGGGAGGACTATTTCTTTCAAAATATTGATCTGAATTGAATTTTTGGCTAGTTCTCCAACACCATGCATGAAAACCCATCCCACATATTACAGGTTCCATAGCCATCCCCGCCGTTTCATGGAGATTTCGTTTGT